ATTTTTCTTCGAGGGTCCTTCCACGTCGAGTGATCCAATACAAATTACCATTGTTTCCATCTGATATTTCGTCCAATGTTGATTGTCGTTGATCTAATGAAAAATTTTTATTATGCCGACATATTTCGAATTTTTATTAATATATAAAAACATATTAGATGTATTGGGATTATTTCGAATACATTTGGCTATATAGATCAGCCCGATATATTCAATTACTGTAATGGATATAACTTTCCGGAGGGTGGAACAGATTAAAATAATCCATTTCGAATCGGTTTACGATTTATTTTATTTTTTTTATTATTATTATTATTATTATTATTATTATTATTATTATTATTGTCTTTTTTCTTTTTTTTAATCAATCAGCAAAAAAAAAAAGAAAAAAATAGGTTGAACAAGTTTTATGAATTTTTTCTTTGAAAAACGATCTTCCTTGTCTCTCAAGCATCATCATCATCATCATCATCATCATCATTATTATTATTATTATCATCATCATTATTATTATTATTATTATTATTATTATTTCTTCCTTTACTCCCATTCGTCTTTGGTTGTTAGCTCGATGCAACACACGTGTCGCCAATTTCGTGGCGACTTTTTGCCAGGCAGTCCCGGATGAGACTCATTATCTCGTGATGCAGACACATCGGACTCATCGTTGGCTTTTGCGTTTGAGTTATGGGAACGTTTCGTGTTTGGATCGAGTGAAAGATAGCTGGTTAAATTCTAAGAATTCTTTTTGAGTTTTAATCGCGATCAAGATTATCAAATGATATTCGATAATTTATGTAAAACGTCAAATACGAATGCGGAATTTTATCGTGCGATTCGATGAATGAACAAGAGAGAACGAAGGCTAAAACGAAAAGGAAGACGAAGAAAGAGAGGAAAGAAAGAAGAAGAAGGGTATCGTGTGATGGCACGAGGGGTGAATCCATCTGCTAAGTGCGGATAAAATTACCCCTCGATGCCTCTACCGACAGACTCCCTGGATATCTGGCCGTTCGTTCCACTCGTCTTTTCCTTTCCCCTCCCCTCTCTCTCCCTCTCTCTCTATCTCTCTCTCTCTCTCTCTCTCTCTCTCTCTCTCTCTCTCTCTCTCTCTCTCTCTATCCTTCTCGAGTAAATAACTTAGATGCGTCCGTTGGTCGCTACGTTTGCCAACGATGGTTCTCAACTCGTATCTTTTTTCACAACACATTTTAAAAAGATCAAAACTTAAATCTCTTTTATTTTTTCGTTCTTCCCAACATCTATCAATTCTTAAAATGCAATATGCACGTTAAACGATCGTATATGATCCCAATGAATAACGCAATTCTTTTTATATTTTTCTTATTGTTTGTAAGTTAAACCAGGAGAATATTAAATAGTTGAATGAATAAAAAGGATCATAGCAAAAAGAATATTTCGAAGATCTTTGAGAAAGGGTTATGTCGGTCCGGAAGACAAACCGATCGACGAGAAAGGAGAAGGAGAATGAGCATTGGTAGAATGCAGAAAGAAAATCGGAAAGGATAGCAACATCTCGAGCGTGTGCGGGTGCGAGCGCGAGCGCGCGCGTGTCGTCTCTTCTCCTTTCCTTGGAATCTAATTTCGTCGAATGTCATCCCAGAGAGTCGGAGGAGAGTGCAGCGATCTGCATTCGAGGTTGAATCGCTCGATAGCAATTTCCAGGAAAGGAGAGTACGAGACTCGACGTGTGCAGAGAGGGAGAGAGAAGAGAGGGAGCGAGAGAGAAAGAGAGAGGTAGGGAGAAGGAGAGGGAGACAGACAGATAAAGAAAGAGAAAGAAATAGAAAAGGAGAAAGAGAAGAGATGGACCGATATAGGTGAATGTAAACGCGTGTATCACGTACGTAAATGTAGAAGAAAGAGAGAGAAAAGAATGGGAAAGAAAGGAGAGGGGATAAGTATTGAGAAAGAGAGGGAGAGAGAGAGAGAGAGGGAGGGAGGGAGATAGATAGAGAGAGAAGGAGAAGGGATAGGATAGGAGGGGGTGGATCCTACAGGAGGATACGCCGTCCTTTCCCTTCGAAGCCCCGTCGTCGAAGTATTGAGTCCTGTATCATGGCGGCTATAATACATTTTTTATCTGATTGAGGGGATCTCCTTTATGGAGGGTGTTCCGTACACACAGCTTTGAGTTGGAGCTCTCGCGAACCCTGTATATATATATATATATATATGTGTGTGTGTACGTTGTCTCCCTTTCTTTCTCTCTTTTTCACTTTCGGCCATCGTCGTCGATTTTGTCGTTAGATGGGGAGAAGAGAAGCGGTAGGGATACGCGCGTGCCTGTATTTCAAGAGAGAGAGAGAGAGAGAGAGAGAGAGAGAAAACGTGCCTTTTTTTCTTTCCCTGCGTTTTCCGCATCGGCCGATACTCGTGACACCATTGCCGCAAAGAGGGTGTCATCGTTGCTTGGTACAAAAAGATATCGTGCTTTTTAATAATTTATTATTGTCATATTTTTATTGCACATATTAATAGATTGCATATAATAAAATGTTGGATATGTTTTTGTGCGTGGATTGTTAGATTATCACATTGAAAAAAGAATTCTTATTTATCTTTTTTTTTTTATTCTTATTTTTTTTATTTTTTTTATTTTTTTTATTTTTCTTCTCTCTCTTTTTTTCCCTTCATCGAGAAAACTTAATTCGAAGTTATAATAAGTCGATATATCTTTGCAAATATATGCCAGGCTTATTCTTCATGCATCGAGACGGAATTCATTTAATTTTGATGGAATATACTGAATCCTTAATGCACCTAACTGTAACAAGTTTAGAGTAGAGGATGTAAACTCGGTTGTTATTAGATTTTTATTCCTCAGTTTCTCGTGGAATAACGTACGAGTATCGCGTCGTGCATGATGCAGGACTTTTATTGATTCCACGGGAATCTAGAAAATGGCCATATTGGAGATCGTGCGGGTAAAGGATATTAAAATGCATTCAATGCGATCGGCTGCCAATTTATAAAGCTCTTTCAGCTTGGAAGTACTCGTTCGTCTTTCCCGACGGTATTCCCTTTATTTCACCGAACAAATCCAGTAACTCTGCATCTACCGAATGCTTCGTTATGTTTATGTTAACGAATAACGTCGCATCCTCGTCGTCATTGGTGACGTCGACGAATATTTGTTCTCTCTCTCTCTCTCTCTCTCTCACTCTCTCTCTCTCTCTCTTTTTCCACGAGGAGAAAAAAAGAAAAAAAAGAAAAGAAAAAAAAAAAACATGCCTTAAATGCTCGCCTTAACTCGAAAGCTACGACGACCCGCATATATAGGAACGCTGGGTTGCATTTGGTAAATGGCAATCAAATATGCACGATCGATTAGCACGTCCGTGCCTAAAAGCAAACAGTGCTCTTCGACGCGAGAGAACGTACGTTTTAAACGCGTTGCGCGCCCGCATCCGTTGTGTTCGTTGTACGGCTCGTTAGAGCCGATAGAGAAGCGAGTTAAATAATAAAAAGGCGAGCTATCCGAGCGATCTGTTTCGTTTTATTCTTAAAAGAGAAAGAGAAAACGATAGATAACTAGATAGATAGGTAGAGCAGAGTACTTGATATCTTTCGATCATTTTTTCTCTTCTGTTTATTTTTCTTATTTTCTTTTTATTTCACTTTTCGTTTGCAAAAATTTCCCTAGTGTCGAACACAGCTAGCTATCGTTTTCATTCAGTACTCTATATCCCCCCCCCCCGCTTCCCAAATAAGTCGGTCGCCGCACTACGTCTACTCGTGTAAAGAAGGAAGAAGAGGCGAGAGAAACAAAGACGGATAGATAGATAGATAGATAGATAGATAGATAGATAGATAGATAGATAGATAGATAGATAGATATATATATATACATATAGAGAGAGAGAGAGAGAGAGAGAGAGAGAGAGAGAGACGGATGAAGTCGTGCGAGAAGGAAGGAGAGAAAAAAAAGAGGAGAAGGAGGTTGGGTGTTTGGGGGAGGTGTAGTAGAGGCAGAGAGGTTGTGTCAGTGGTGGTATAGATCTGGCGGAGCGGAGGCCGCTGCAGGGGATTGAAAAGCAATTTCCCCGTGAGGGACGCGCGGTGTGTGGGCCGAGCTTTATATTAATGATCCAGATATATTATCGGACGTGACCGAAATTGCTGTCAAAAAACTCGGATATTGGATCGAAAGGAGATTGCGAGACGGTCGGTCCTCTTCGTCTCTCTTTCTATCTTTCGTTCTCTCTCTCTCTCTCTCTCCCTCTCTCTTTCTCTCACTATCTATCTCCGTTCACTCTTCTGTTGCCGGGGTTCTCTCTATACTTCGTCGTCTATACCGATCGGTCACTGCGGAAAACGGCATCGATCAAATAGCGCGGGAAAAGTCAGCTCTCGCGGTTGTTTTGCCGTTTGTTTTCCTTTCATACAGAACGAAATATTTCATATCTCTTTCCTACGGGATCAAACATCGCGGTAGGATACAATCGTAGTGTACCCGATGCCGACGCTCGCGTTATTCGCTTTAAAAAACGATATTAACTTGATGGAATTCCGAGATGGAAGGGTAGCTAACAAATCGTCATTACGATCGGATCGAATTAAAAGCAGGTCGTTAGAATGTGAGAGGGAAGGAAGCACGACGTTTTGGATTCCGCATCGAAGGCATCTCTCTTCACATCCCAACTACACACTATCTTCTCTCATTCGACTGAGAGAGCTTATCGAAGCGAGAAGGAACGTTCTTTTTTTTTTTATTTTCTCATTTTTTTATTTTTTTATTTTTTTATGCGGGTCCCTTAAGTGGCACCTACTACGTACCGCCGTGTACATCGATGCGCGTGTCCGAGCGCTTTTATGCAGGTTCTCGATAAGGAACCTCCTCGGCCTCGTTAACTACCAATTCCTTTCCCTTTCCCTCCTCCTCCTCCTCCTCCTCCTTCCCTTCCTCCTTTTCAATTGGTATCGCAAGAGAGCTCAGCCATTCTAATTTTTTCTCCCCCTTTAATTCTCTGTCGCAGGTTATGTTAAATCGTTTCCCCGCTGACGTCGTTCCGAAGGTCGTTCCGAAGGGCCAGCGAGAGGTGAGTGAAAAAAATGGACAAACATTTTTCTTCCCTTTTTTTCTTTGTATTCCATATTCCTTTCGCAAGAGAAAGAAAAAGAAAGGATAAAGAATAGGAAAAGGAAAATATAAAAAGCGAATTGTCATTTTCTCAGGAACAAATTTATATGTTACGAGTTAGATCGAGATATACACAAGGGACAGATAACGCGCATCGTGAAGGCTTAGCAGTAAAAGCCATTGCTAAGCCTAACTAAGGACGATGATGAGGAGTGTAATGATGAAGTCGGGAGATGGGAATCATGGTGCGACGCGATGGCGCGGCTCGCGATCCAGTCGGCAAAGACTAATTTCCGGTGGCTCGTATTTATACGGTTAGTTATACCGAGCGAATAATACGGACCCGGCGACCTCGGTTGGTTCATCGAGGGGCGGCCAAGTTAGCCATACGTCCGTCTGTCCGTCTGCACGTCTATCCGTTCGTTCGTGCCCGCTTTCTCCCTCTCTTTCCATCTCTTTCGTTCTCTCTCTCTCTCTCTCTCTCTCTCTCTCTCTCTTCCCCTTCCTCCTCTTGGTATATAACTCAAACCACGCGCTCAACTGTACGGGTGGTAGGCGTAACTGAATTTCCATAGCTCGGTAATTGTAATGCACATTCGTTAGTCGGCAACGAGAACGAATGGAATTAACGCACGACTACTCTCCGCTAACTTATATTTTTTTTTTTATTATATTTATACTTTATACAGTGAAACTTATATTCGTTGTATTTTTAAACTTATTTCTAACGCGTTCGTTCCAACTAATCATTATTATTATATGATCGTTAAACTTTGTCCGACTCTTTATAAGAAGCTATTTCTTATTCGGATTGTCCTATTCTCTTAATTGTCAGGAAACACAATGGGTTAAAGGTTAAAACAATGAACGCGTCGAACTAAATAAGAGAACGTAGACCCAAATACCATTGGTGTATGTGTATATATTGTATATATTTTATACATATACAATATATATTATATATATATATATACATATATATATATATACATGTCGACATGTATTTGCATGTGCAAGGGAGACGTTTGATTGGCCGTGACGTCGATGCTTTAAAGTGGCTTGCCAGCCCCTTGATTGGATTCTATCATGGACACAATGGACTATACATTGCGCGACCTGACTTGAGAGCGCATTGGATAGGAGACAAGAGAGAGAGAGAGAGAGAGAGAGAGAGAGAGAGAGAGAGAGAGAGAGAGAGAGAGAGAGAGAGAGAGAGAGAGAGAGAGAGAGAGAGAGAGAGAGAGAGAGAAAGAGAGAGAACGAAGAAAAGGAGAAGTAAAAGTAGCAGCACAAATCTTTAACGATGTTAAAAACAATAACGTGAATAATCAGCAAACGTTTAATCATTGATATATCTCTAGTATTTATAATTGTTAATAATTGGACATTTCCAATAGTGATATGAGCGCTAATGAAACATTGAGTACACTTGATAGTTAGGTTCTAATCAGCGTTAGTTGGAACCCCTTTAATAGGTAAAATCGTCAAGTGTCAAGGCATGTGTAGGGCAAGAGACTAGGGAGGAATCGCGAAGAGGGCTGTGATGGCCAGTGAATCCTGCCTGTCGTTGGGTATCGGCCAAACGAGAAGAGACGTCAGAGATAGAGAGAATAGAAGGAGAGGGAGAGAGATACAGGGAGAGGGTAGGAAAACGAAGAGTTGCGTAGCAAGCTAGGTGAGGGGGTGAGGAAAAGGAGGAGGAGGAGGAGGAGGAGAAAGTAGTAGTAGTAGTAGTAGTAGTAGTAATGTAGTAGCACAATAGTAGTAGTAGTAGGTAAGAGGAGGGGTGACGAGGAAGAAGGGTCGGGTCGGGCGTACTTAGTTAGCGGACAATGCGGCCCCTAATGAACAGCCAGGGGCGCCCGGCAGACCAGCTACTGGAGCACGCCATCTAGTACGAGACAGACGGATTACGTTGCTTCGGCTCGGCAACCGTTCCGGCGAGCCGCTTAAGAGGACCGCAGACCGAGCAGAAATCGATCAAAGACGATGAATACTTGGACAACCATCTCTTTTCTTTCTTTTCTTCTTCTTTTCTTTTTTCTGCCCCCCCACCCGCCGCTCTCCCCCTTTTTGTTTTATCCTTTCCCTCGATCTCACCTTTTGGATTTCCCTTCAACGTACGTTAACACCAGCGATCTTATCGAGGACACTTTTATCGATGCGGAAACGATGAATTCCTAGAGATAGAGATTTTCTCATCGAATTCGATATGATAATTTGAAAAGTTCGACGATAGGGCAACGTTCACTCCGATAAATGTGTTCTTTCGATGTCCGTTCAACGTTTCTTTGGATTTTTTCTTTCTTTTTTTCTTTTTTCTTTTTTCTTTTTTTTTTTTTTTTTTTTTTTTGTTTCTTTTCCTTTACTTTTTTCTTCTTCTTTCTCTCTCTCTCTCTCTCTCTCTCTTTCTCTCTCTCACTTTCTTCTTCTCCTTCCATTTAATGGACTTCGAAGCGATTATGCGGCGATCACGTGTGCTCGTCGGCTTGAAACTTAATTAAGATAACGACGGAACTTTGCTCGATCGAATGAGAAGAAAAGGATGGAAAATTAAATGACTTCTTTATTAGCTATTTTACCTCGGCCTTCTCTCTCTCTCTCTCTCTCTCTCTCTCCCTCACACTCTCTCGCTTCTATTTTTTTTCTTCCTCGTTCGAACTTCTTCCTCTCTCTTTCTCTTTCTCTCTGTCTCCGTCTCTCTCTCTCTCTCTCTCTCTCTCTCTCTCTCTCTCTCTCTTTCTCTCTACGAAGTAAATTTATTAACGATACATATTCTCTAGTAGTGGTACAGCACGTTTTACGAATCTATCGGTCTCTTCTGCGTGACTTTAGTTACGAGAAGAAAAGGATCGAAATTGCTAATGAATGAAACGTACACATACCTAACTGTACGCTGCTTTCATTTAATTAATGATCGCTACGGTGCTTGTTGAGAGACATCAATAATTCGAGACCCACTGGCTTTTCATCATTCAGCAAGCTCGTTTTAGCGTAAATCGTAAGAGAAACTCGGAACAGGGAGAATCGGTTGATTTGTTACACGCAATAAGTAAAAAATACAAATTAGAAATAATAAGCGCGTCGCACTTAATTATTTATCATTCGATTCAAAATTTTCTTCTGTTTTTATTATTTTCCCCTTTTTCTTGTTATTTTTTTTTTCTTTTCTCTTTTTTCTTTTCTATTTGCATTAATTATATAAGATGCGTTACGTACTTTTAAGTAAGGCAGAAAATGAGGATATTTTTTCTTCTTTTCTTTTTCCTTTTTTTATTTTCACGGTAAATCTCAAGGTACATATATATGTATGTATGTATGTATGTACGTACGTACGTACGTATAAAACGAAGCGCGTTAACTGAGAACCATCGGTCGGTGGTGCGCCGTGCGGCAGTTGTAATTGGATTCAATTGTGCCGCGTTAAATCAGTGACCGCGCTCTCCCGCCGATCCTCCGTTATGTGCCTATCCATCCGTTACTCCTCCGACGCGATTCGTTCGAATAACTTGGTCGCAGTGCGCACGAAAAATCGATCGACTCTTCGTCGTTCAGTGAAATGTACAAAAAAAAAAAAAAAAAGAAAATAAAATAAAAAAAATAAATGAATAATAAAAACGAGAGAAAGAGAGAGACACAGCTAGTAGCTTTTGGCGTGACGAAAGTTGAAACTCTGTCTCTCTCTTTACCTCGCTAATTATTTACTATATTAGCGGATGCGTTTAATTATCAGCCGTAAAAATTTCCACGCCTTTTAAACGATCGCTCGCATGATTTTTTTATTCCTCCTTTCGTTTCTCTTTAAACGATACTCAAAGAAGGTACGACTTTTTTATTAACTTGGACGGTGCAAAAGTGGGAGTAGATTTAAAAGAAAAAAAAAAAAAAGAAATAAAGAAAAAATTGAATAGATCCTCTGTTGCCTCGATCTGATCCTCTGTTGATCGATCGATCGATCGAAGATCTTGGAAAGTTTACGAAAGAAGATATTAAATTACTATCCTTTGTTAGTAGGGAAGAACAGAGAAAAAATTATAGTAAGGTATTATTAAGACGTGTTCTTGTGGTTTATGTTTTAAAGCTTCCTCGATGATCGCAGGGGTGGTTTTAACGGGCACGGTGCGCCTTTGGCGCCATCTCGGGGAATCGCAAAGGGGTGCGGAAGGGCCACTGGCTTCGTAAATACCTACTGCCAGCTCGCATCGGTAATATTGTAAGCGGTAATTTTACTAATGGCATTGCCGCGTTTCTCTGTTTTCTATTACGCTTATATCTTCCCTTCCCTCACTTCCTTTTCTCAAGCGCACACTGTTTCCAAGCACCTTCCCTCGACCCCTCTTTCCCCTTTCTTCTCTTCTTCGTACACACCCTCCTTTTCCCTTTCCTTGGCACTTGCTTATAACTCTCGTGCATGCGTAGGCACCGTCGTCGTGTAGGTATTACCTCTCTCTCCTATGTCCTCTCCTCCCTTTTCCTCCTGGAAACCTCCGAGACTTCCATAGAGGGAGCCACTTCTATCCTCACCCTGATAAACCCCCGTTGTACGCGTATTTCCCTCGCTCGAGCAGGGAATAGGCCGCGTGTTTCGAGTGTCGCAGCTATCGTTACCAGGACTATACCGGGTGTCCCATCTTGAAAATCCATCGATATATCTTACTCGATTATTTGTAAAAGTCTGGAAAGACATTTGGTACATTTTGTTTACATCGAATGACGTAATTTATTATTACGAGCTCTCCTTCTACATATAAATTCGTAGTTCATGTAGACATTCGGATTGAAAGTATCGTGAAACGAAAGGGACATTACGGACACCCAGTATAATCTGGCATTCGGATTAACCGAAGTGCCGAAGCTTGTGCTCGGTAAAAAGTACGCGAGCAACAAACGCGATGCCTCATGTTCCCGCGTGAAACGCGTTGCTGGTTAAGGGGATCGTAACACGTGGTGTTAGGTAGG